AGGTCTCCATTCTTTGGTGCTCATCCTTCCTTATGGTCCAACCTTCACAGCCATCCATTGCAACTGGGAATGAATACATAAATAAATAAATGCAAAAGAGTTGGTGGCTGCAGTTTCCTGATAGCAAAGATGTGGGTTTGGTTTGCCCGGTTTTGATGAAAAAAGGAAGAGAGAGCTAACTTGTTTGATCCTTGTTAGGGAATGGTGGTTTGTCTGCAGGGCTGGTTTGCCGGTGGCATGGTTAGTGAAAGCGGCAATTGTAAGAAAGGATCAGCAAAGAAAACCCTTGTGTTTACCCTGGAGATGGAATGAATGGGCACTTGGCTGACCCTGCAGTCTGTGCTGGACTACAGGCTCCATTATCCCCATAGGGATGGTTTCTTAAGCCAGTGGGATGATATAATCATTGTCATTTTGGCCGGGTTTTTTTTCTGATGGGCTACAACCCCCATCATCCTTGGAGGGGGAAGAGGGTTGCAATTCCATCTGCCTCCCAAGAGCTGGGCCTGGCTTCTATGGTGACTACAATTCCCATGTGCCCGACGTGGACTCCAAAACCCATGCAAAATAACCAGCTCTCCCCAGCCTCTGCATGGTGACTACAATTCCCATCCTCTGCCTGACACGGACTCCAAACCCATGCGAAACAAGCATGGTCCTTTAAGCAGTTTCTTCTCACTTGGGCTACACCTTCCAGTGCATCCACTAAATTAACTACATGTACCATCATTCGCAGCAAGGAATTTCCTTGGGCATCATTCCCTTCACCTCCCAGGGAACTACAATGCCTATAATCCAGAGACCTGTGGGGCTCTGCCCAGATCCCATCATCCCCGGTCATGGATTCTAGCAACCTCTTCAGCAGACGAAAAAAACCCCCAGTGGTTTCCTGGCCCATGTGGGACTACAAGTCCCATCTGCATGAACAAAAATGACTACAAAGCCCATCACCCCCAGACGCTGCTGGGGTGCTGTGGCTCCCCTTCCCCATTAATAAAGGGACTACATCTGCCCCTGCTGTTTGTTTTTTTGGGGGACTACATTTCCCATCATCCCCCTTCGCCCTCCCTCAGGTCGGCTGGACTACAGATCCCATCGTCCTCCTCGCCGCCGAGGCGGGTTGAGGGGCACCGCCTTCCCCATTCCTGCCTGCAGGGGGCGCCTGTCGGAGAGCGGCCACCAACCGCCGCCTCGGAGGAGGAGGTGGGGCGGTGTAAGGAGGAAGCCCCGCCTTTCGCTCCGCCTCTCCCGGCTCCCTTTCTGGACCAATCCGGAGCGCCCTCCTCTTCCCCTTNGGGGGGGGGGAGGCTTTTTTCGCCCTCCCCAGACTCCTATAAAGCCTGGGGAAGGTGAAGAAAAGCATGGAAAAAATGGGGGGGAGCACCTGTAGTGCGCGCATACGCACGGGGGGTTGCGCATTGCGTTATGGAGGCGACACGCCCATGCACGACCCCCCTGTGCTCCCCCCCACATATGGCACGCAAGCCCAAAAAAGGTTCGCCATCGCTGGTATAGGTTCTCCTGCTTGAGCAATGGGTTGGACTAGAAGACCTCCGAGGCCCCTTCCAGCTCTGTTCTGTGTCTCTACCAATGTCCCCTTTTCCCCTAGGTGCTTGTGATCTCCATCGCTTGGAAGAAACTTCCAAAGGAAGGCCTTGGAGGACTTTTGACAAAGAGGGATTAAAAACAGGAAAGAAATCTGTGCCATCAATATTACATTCTTTACCCCCAAGGTGACATTAGATTTGGGGGGTGGGATTAAATCCCCTTTAAAAAAAGAAAGTTAAAATGCAGCGGAAATGATGCAGTGTTTGAGGTGAAGCTGAATATGACTAAAATTAAGCACCGCTGTTGAAAGTGCCATTTTTGGTTTGAAATACAGGCAGTCCTTCGACCCCAATTGAGCCCCTTATCTCTGCTGTTAAGTGAGACATTCACTTAACATTCACTTACAACCCATTTTTACAACCTTTCTTGCCACCGTCATCAAGTGAAATCGCTGTCGTTGTTAAGTTAGTAACACGGTTGCTAAGCGAATCTGGCTTCCCCACTTGACTTCGCTCATCGGAAGGTCGCAAAAGGGGATCACACAATCCCGAGGCCGTCGTAACGATGGGTCAAATTGCCAAGTGTCTGAATTTATGGGGATGCGACAAAGATTGTGACTGCAAAAAACGGTTGTGACATTTTTTTCAGTGTTGTTGTAACTTTGAATGGTCGCTAAACGAACTCTTCATAAGTCGAGGACTGCCTGTCTCCAAAGCAGGGTTGCCGTTAGAGGATTGTGATGAGTTTTTGCGATCTGGTACCTTAAAAAAAAAGAATGTTTATAGTTGTCTGTTTAAACGAGGACCTCCTTCAAATTATGTGAATCTCTTTGTCCATTTTTGTTGCGTGTGGTTTTTTTTTCTCTGCAAATAATACCAAATATGCTTTTATTTATTTCTATATAACATTTTATATTTGAATGTATTTTATCCTAAGCATTGCTAGCTGTTTTTGGGTTGTTGTTTTTTTAAAATCTCCTCCCACTTTTTGGTTCATACATTCAGTTGATTAACAGTTTATTTTGGGAAGATGGCTGCCTGTGATCTCTTGTTCGTTTTACACACAGTCACACACACACACACACACTTTTTTGTCTGGTGGTGTGATGAATCTTTTATTCTTTCCTTGGGGCCAAACAAATCACTGGAGACAAAAGGGCTTAATACTTTGGAGAGGTACAGGCACAAATATTGGAGCAGAATCCAAAGATGTTGATTGACAATTCTTTTTGACAGATGAGGTAGATTTAGAAAAGACGTGGGGAATTTTGTCAGGCTTGTGTGGTTAAAAGCATGTGTGTGTAAGGAGGGGTGGGGGG